AAAAAAAAAAAGTAGAGAGTATAAATGTCTTAACACAATAATTAAGCAAATGAGGTGAGGGATATATTAACTAGTTCCATGTAAGCATTCCAAATTGTATATGAAATCAGCACATCATACCCCATAAATACATTAATGTATACATGATCTATGTGTTTACAACTTAATAAAAAAAAAAAAGAAAGAAAGAAAGAAAAATCAGGCCTCAGTCACACACTGCTCAGCCTTGTGGCCCCTCCAACCCATTACCCACCGATCCAGGAATCAGCCTGGCTTTCGTGAGTGCCACGTCTGGTTCTCCAGCATTGCCACAATGAAGAATGTGGCTGAACAGCTCACACGAGAGGCTGGGCTCAATCATGTTAAAGTTTCCTAGGCAGCTGCAGACTTGAAACAATTCTGTCTGCAGAATGCTCATCATGATCCTCTGCTGGAACCTGAACATGGAGCAAGTACATGGTTCAAGTACAGATCCCTTCAGACCCCAGAAAGTCTGTTCCTTTTTGTAGTACCATGAATCTTTCCAAGGTTTCCCAAACCACTTCTTGTGAACTAGTGGAATATTCAAGAGAGCTAAATTTTGAAGCCTGTACAAAAGATTATATCTCCCCCCCCCCAAAAAAAAGTTTAGATCCCTGTATCACAGGTGCCATAACACATAAATTTCTACTTTTTAAAATAATTAACATCTACCTCTCTGAATTTTTATGAATTTCTACTTCATAAGAGCAATTGTTTTATATACTAGCAGCAGCAGACAATAAAATAATTAGTATAAAAGAAAATGAAAAACTAGAGAGGCATCATGGCAGGTGCCTATAGTCCCAGCTACTTGGGAAGCTGAAGCAAGAGAATCTCTTGAGCCCAAGAGTTAGAGGTTGCCTTGAGCTAGACTGATGCCACAGCAGTCTAGTTAGGAGAAAGAAGGGAGAAAAGAGAGTGGCGCCTGTGGCTCAGAGTTAGGGTGCCGGCCACATATACCAAGGGTGGCCAGTTCGAACCCAGCCCTGGCCAAACTGCAACAAAAAATAGCCAGGCGTTGTGGCAGGTGCCTGTAGTCCCAGCTACTCAGGAGGCTGAGGCAAGAGAATCTCCTAAGCCCAAGAGCTGGAAGTTGCTGTGAGCCGTGATGCCACAGCACTCTACTGAGGACGATAGAGTGAGACTGTCTCTTAAAAAAAAAAAAAAAAAAGGATAAAGAAAAAAAAAGGGAAGAAAGAGAGAAAGGAAAGGAGGAAGGTTTGATATGTGTTTGCCTTTTATTTCTAATTGTTTACCATTTTGCTTATTCATTTCTCTTTTTATTTGTTATTTCCTCTGCAAAGCATCGTCCTATGACATTAGAGGGGAGGAAACCCAACCCTGGGAAGAAGTTTTATCTTTCCCTTTTTTTTTATAGTCAAGAAAACTGCAGCTCAGAGAGGGCAAGTAACCTACCGAGAGTCATGTAGCTAATTAGAGAAAACATTAAGATCTCAACAAACACGTTTTACTCCACTTCTTTGAAGTTTTTTCCATAACAAGAATGTTGCTAGCATTCTCCATAAATAGCCCCTGAAGTTTGCTAACATACAGAGTGTGAGTCCTCAACACCACAGACTATTGTGCAATTTTGTAAAATTTCACCATGGTCTGTTTATATTGCAACAATGTACCTAAAGAAAGTGTTTTCCTAATTGCTCTTCTAATTCTTACATACCTCTTTCAGGATAAGCTCCTGGCCTAGAGGAACTACCCAAGAATCTGAGAGGTGCTCTTCAGCCTGGGTTCTCTCCTGGGTTCTCACCTCTTCTCTATACCCTTTTCTTTGTGCAGACTTTAGTAGATGATAAAGTCCTACTCTAATACTTGAATCTGTGATCTTATTTCTCCACATCCTTCTCTTTCTAGCCCCGTTACTGTTGTTCTAGGTCAAGTCTGTAATAAGCACCTTTGGGGGAACCCCCAAACACACTCTCCCCTCAGAATATTCCTCCCTTCCCATCCAAGAATGGTTTCCAGATGCACTGCACTAGCTACTTTCATTTGCATTGATTCATTTCATTCTCACAATAACTTTGAGATGATAAAATTGAGATTAAATTGTTTTGTTTTGTTTTGTGTTTTGGCCGAGGCTGGGTTTGAACCCGCCACCTTCAGGCATATGGGGCCAGTGCCCTACTTGAGCCACAGGTGCCGCCCTGAGATTAAATAAGTTGTGGCAGACCACAAACCTCTTACATGCTACAGTCATGACTCTAAGAACTCAGGTCTGGCTGGCTCCAAAAGTCATGTTCTTTGCACTGCTTATCACTGCCTCCAAATGGACAAATGGGCTATTCCACTTGACTCAGGATACAACTATAGCCGAGGTTTTTGTGTAGTTTTCATTTTATTGGCATCAGTATTACTTATGATATTGTTTGTTATCTTTAATCTTTATTTGGGCAATGGCAGGCCTGTCAAACACCAAACAAACCCTTAACAAGTTGACATCATGAATCTGGGGAGAGTCTTCCCACAGTGATACCCAGCCATGCAATATAGTGTTGGAATAAGTTCCATAAGTACTCAGTTAAGTTGGTTAGGATTCTCTGGCAATGAGAGTATTAATTATAAGAAAATTGTAAAGGCCTGAAGAAAAACCTTCCCTTAATTATGGACTACTTCCGGCTCGGCGCCTATAGCTCAACCGGCTAAGGCGCCAGCCACGTACACCTAAGGTGGCGGGTTTGAATCCCCAGCCCGGACCCGCCAAACAACAATGACGGCTGCAACCAAAAATGGCCGGGCGTTGTGGCGGGCGCCTGTGGTCCCAGCTACTTGGGAGGCAGAGGCAGGAGACTCGCTTGAGCCCAGGAGTTGGAGGTTGCTGTGAGCTGTGATGCCATGGTACTCTACCCAGGGGGACAGCTTGAGGCTCTGTCTCAAAAAAAAACAAACAAACAATTATGGACTACTTCCAATACATCTGAATGGAGTTGGAAATGTACATGCAATATCCTGATAGGAGCTCATCCCAGTATGTTCAAAGTGGTTTAGGCCAGTTCATCCAGAAACACTCCCTGAATATAACTAAAAATCCAAAATGTAAATGGTGTGGGTTTTTTGTTTGTTTGTTTGTTTTTTGTAGAGATAGAGTCTCACTTTATTGCCCTCGGTAGAGGGCCATGGCGTCACACAGCTCACAGCAACCTCCAACTCCTGGGCTTTAGGTGATTCTCCTGCCTCAGGCTCCAGAGTAGCTGGGACTCCAGGCACCTGTCACAATGCCCAGCTATTTTTTTGTTGCCATTTGGATGGGGCCGGGTTTGAACCCGCCACCCTTGGTATATGGGGCTGGCTCCCTAACCATAGAGCCACAGGCACCGCCCAATGATGCCTTGTTTTTCTTCAAATCTTTGACTATGGGCTGCCATAGGTGTCCAACCTGCAGCCCACAGGCAGCCTACAGATTATTTGGGGATTATTTTGCTTATCTGTGGTGTCAGATATCACAAAAAGTATGCACAGACCTTTTCTTTTACTCATCAGCTTTCACTAGTGTTTGTGTATTTAGTGGCCCAAGACAATTCTTCCTCCAATATTCAGCAGAAAAGGTAAAAAAGGTTGGACACCCCTGCAAGTCTAGTCTATTTAAATAATGCCACATTAATTTTTTTGAGAGAAGGAAATATTTTATATATTTCATTTACAAAGTCAACGTATTTATTCTGAGTGCCAATAGCAGGTACTATTGATTCAAAAGGGAGTAAGCACTATCTCTTCTATTAAGCAGCTTTAGTTTTTAATTCATAAGGTATTTCTGCAAGTCCATAATAGTCATAATAAATGCTTCTTTCTGTCGGTATATTACACTTCATTTGAACTTCACCATAATTATGGGCAGGCAGGGTACGTTGCATAATCTTCATATTACAAATGAGAAGCCTGAGCAAGAGGCAAGTTTCCTCCAAATCCCATAACTTATAAATAATAGATTTGAGATTCAAGACCACTTAATCTGAAGGTCCCTTCTATGGAGCTGAGTGCTCTGCAATCATATTTCAGATATATTTCTTTCTTTTTTTTTTTTTAAGACAGAGTCTCAAGCTGTTGCCCTGGGTAGAGTGCCATGGCAACATCATAGCTCACAGCAACCTCCAACTCTTGAGCTCAAGCAGTCCCCTTGCCTCAGTGTTCTGTATTTTTAGTAGAGATGGGGTCTTGCTTTTGCTCAGGCTGGTCTCAAACTCCTGAGCTCAAGGGATCCTCCCACCTTAGCCTTCCAGAGTGCCTGGCCTCTTTTTTTGTTGTTTTGTTTAGGATTCATTGAGGTTACAAAGAATTAGGTTACACTGATTGCATTTGTTAAATAAAGTTCCTCTTATACTTGTGTCCTGTCCCCAAGAGCGGTGTAACATACACAGTGACCCCATCCCCCTTCCTCCACCCCTCTCCCTGCTACCTCATTCCCCTACCCCACCCCGTGTATTAGCTCTTCTACTGCCTTCATATTAGAATTGAGCACATTGAATTCTTGCTTCTCTATTCTTGTGATGCTTTACTAGGAAGAATGTGTTCCACCTCCAT